ATGGTGCACCAAACCATTATGTTTTAACTGTTTTTATGATAAATACAACCCAAAATGTTGTCATATTCTTGTGAAACAGTATTTGTAAGTATTTATTGCATGTGTACATTTTGTACCAAAAACTTTAAATTGTTGAAAAATAATTTTTGAATTTCCTGATATTTATAAAGAATACTAAATTTAAAATTCAATAATTAAAAATGGCATAAAACTGTACATAACAAATTTAATAACAATAAGATTAAATTATATATGTAAAAAAAAAAGAAAAAAAAAAGATCTCATACAGGATTCAAACACACATATTAATGTTCTTCATGCAATGCCTTAACTAATCACATCACGCCATGAATGCATGCAGAGCCTACCATAGGGCGAATGGAGCAGCTGCTCCAGGCGCAAAGTCCTAGGAGGCGCCTCAGTGGTAAAGAAAATTAAAGGGTATAAATTAGGGGCAACCAAGGGGGGACGACATAATAGGATCTCGCTCCATCCTAAAACTTGCCTCGGGCCAGCACTGAATGCATGGATGGCACTTATGTGTAGGCATTAATAGTTGTAGAAAAACTTTAATCGTGATTTTCTCGAGAATGCCTGAATAGTGGGTCCTGCAGCTTTGGCAGAGTTAAGTCACCTTTCAGGGGAAACTTTTTCAATTGAAGTAATGTTACTTCTGGTTTGCATCGGAAGTTCATATATAGTTAATCAGGGCCTTCTGCCCCTAAGCTTTCCATATCTGGTCTCAGCTTTCATCTATCTAACTCCATTCTCGAGACAGATAGACAGGCAGCCAAACAACAGTGGGAATTTATAGGTCTACAATTTTTTCAAATTACAGCCCAATTCAAAACACAGTTAATTCAAAAAGTTTAGAATAATTTAATTCCATCATAATGTGCCAACCCTTTAATGACAACAACTAGGTGAAATAAAAAGTTATAAAAAAAAACTAAATAAGGAGATATTTAGCTTGGTCGTTTAGCTATATTTTCATCTAAAAATATTAATTTCCAAATAAAGTGTTAAAGAGTTAGAGTCATTAGTTTTTACTTAAGTGAATAATGTTCAAAAAATTTAGAATAATTGAAAGTATAAAATATTTTATTTTAATAGTTGTTTAAATCTCCTTTATTATGAATTATGAGTTTTATTTTCTGGCATACTATCAATAAGTGATTGATATTGTTCGAGACTAATTTCAGACCAAATTTTTGTATGTTTTTCTTTTAAATCTTGTTTATTGGTTAGGTTAGATTCTTGCAGTCATTTTTGACAAATGAGCCAAATATTTTCAATTGGAGACAAGTCTGGTGAGTTTCCAGGCCAATCCAAGAACTTTATTTTTTAGATTAATAAATTCTTTAAATTTTTTGCATGTATTTTGACACTTAACTTCATTGTTATTAAGATTACATTATCATCTTGAAACGATCTTCCATTGTTCGGATGAGAAAATATTCTGAAATATTACCATTTACCGTCTCACTAAGAAATCACAATTTTCAAATTCATTATAGTCAAGTAAACAAACACCATTAGTTTAGTGGAAAATTTAATGACTTGCAAACAATCTGGATTGTTGGTTTCATGTTTCAAGTGACAAACTTTATCTCCATAATTTAATTAAACACAAAATATACTTTCATTACTAAAAATGACTTTTTCCTATTATTCAGGTATAAAACATTTATAGTTTTTGGTCCAGGTTAATCATTTTTTATTTTGAACTTTTGTCAGATGAGGTTTATTTTGTAGTTTGGCTGATTTATAACCCATCTTCAAATAACTGAAAAATGTTTTATTTGAAATTGGTTTTCCAATCAGATTTCAAATTCTTGTAACATCTGTTTACAAGCTTGCATGTCTATTTTATTGTACAATTTTTCTAAGTGCTGATTTCAGTCATTTCCAAAATAAATTTTGTATGACCAGAGCATTTTTCAGCATTTAAACTTCCAGTTTCATTAAATTTTTTAATTATTTTTTTTCTCTTTAAACTATGAATAATTCACTTTTCTTGCAATTTCTTGTTGCTTTATACTTTCTTCATGTAAATCAATAATTTTGGGTTTGATCCAGGCTTAATTGTCATTTCTTGTACAAGGCGTTTACCCTGCTTTTGTGACAAATGCTGGATTGTAATTTATACACTACCTGTGACAAAATTTACATAATTGCAATGAATTACAAACACTACTACTTATAATTGGACAGTATTTATTAATTTATTTCATATTATTCTAAACTTTTTGAACACAATTTCAAATATTCTAAATTTTTTGAACATCATTCACTTAAGTAAAAAGTAACGACTCATTAACACTATCCAGAAATTAATATTTTTAGATGAAAATAAGATTTTTTAGACTAGAATAAATATTCCCTTATTTAGTTTTTTCATAATTTTTTTTTATTTCACCTAGTTATTGTCAATCAAGGGTTGGCACATTATAATAAGTAAAATTAAGTAAAATTTTTTAAGTAAAATTATTCTAAACTTTTTGAACTGACTGTAAATAAATGTATGAATAAATTCAAATATTGGAAATTTATATCTAGAAATAAAAAAGACTAATGAGAAATTTGAATTTAAAAAAAATTATAATTTTAATGTTTCATATTTTCAAAATTTTCAATGTAGAAAGGGGCAAAAAATATGTTAAACTTATGCTAAAATATATTGATTTTGGATAAAATGAAAGAAAATCTACAAATTATTTACAAGTATACTAGACTCTTGCTAATCTAGCCATTTCTTTCACAGAGGGGCATGATTACTGAGTGTATATGCTTAAAACCTGCCTAGAGGCAACAAATGACAACCTAAGTTATTGTCATTCAGTACTGATTCTTTTTGAAACTGTACTTTTTTGTCATTATGAAATTATATACAGTGATACAGTAATTGTAAGTTTAATTCAGTAAAAATTAGTAAATAACAAACTGTCTTATGGAACTAAACTCTAAAGAATTTTATTAAATTCTTATACACTAGCATTTTCAATGAAGCATATTCATTGTCTTCAAGCAAAAGAGTTCTGAACAGAACACTGAATTTTTCAAATTTCAAAAAATGTAATATGTAGCCTACAAATTTGAAATATATAATAAAGAATTTTAGCATGTAGCATCATTCAAGATAAGTGAAAAGTCAGAATTATATATTCTACTCAGCTTATGTAATTACTGTTAAAATTTGAGAAAATATATTTGTAAATAATAAAAAAAACCAAAGTTTCTATCAACATTTATACAAAATACATTGTATTTTTCATTTCTTCTACTATTCTTATCACTTCTTTTATTGAAGCTAATTTGTATATGTTATACTTGAATCAAGTTTTGATTCAAATATAAATTTCAATATTCCATATGTTATATGTTTAAATTTTGTAAATGGTACCAGTTCAAATTCCAAAAAAATTCCATTTCATGTTCCATTCGGAACTCTTTTGCCTGAAGGCAACAAATATGTTTCATTGAAAATGATAGCATATAAGAATTTAATAAGATTCTTTCAAGTTTAATGCCTTATATCAGTTTGTTATTTATTTCTACTGAATACACTTGACATAAAAAAAAAATGAAATACATGCACTTGAAGTTTAATGTTACAGGTTTACTATATAAGTATAAATGTATGCCTTAAAAAAACACAAACAAGAGAAATATATAATGGGGGTATGTCAGATAATAGGAGAGGCTGAATTAACAAGAGTGTACTATATCTTATTCTTATATAAAAATAAAATTTTTTAAATTATTGTTTTTATAAAAAAATTATTTTTTATTGTTATTTCAAAAGTATTAATTCCTAGCAGGACCTTATTTATTTATATGTAAATTCTTGTAAATTATATACTACTATATTGGATTAATGTTAAGTCAAACAACATTCTAGTCTAGACTGAACATTGATTAAATTTAATGTATGAAATAATAAAATAATACTATATACTTTATTGTATTTATATGAGAAAGAAACAATAGAAAAATTTTGTTTTGTCTTTACTCTGTATTTGTGACCTCTTAAAAACTAGAACATATCAATCATTGGCCAAGTGCAAGGACATTTAAGTTACAAGCTGATTGTAATAAAAACTGATCTTTAAGTTGCTGCATTTTTATAACAATGATTAATATGAAATTACATACATGTATTATATATATATGTTACATAATTTACATATTTTAATATCTTAATTTATAAAAGATAAAAAAAAGTCTAAAAGTGAAGACTATTATTTATTTTTCTACAGTTAGTTATTAGTAAAATGAAATTAAACTATTCTAGACACAATATATTACTGAAATAATGAATACTGATGATTAATAAAATAATTATTGATGAAAAAATGTAAAACTTTTTTATGATATTTTACATTATTCAAATTTTACTTTAATAAATGTATTTTACAATATATTTATAATTAAAAGGAATAAAACTTTCAATTAAGCAATATAAAAATATTATGAAATATATTTCAGGTTACCTGATTCCAGAATAGAATTAAATTCATTACCCATAAATCAAACAATTTCACGTTACTGAAGCATTATGTATTAAATTTATATTATAGTATTTTATAATAATGAAAATATTTTCTTTGTAGGCTATATTTATTTTTGATATTAGTATGTTCTTATTCAAAAATAAATATGTACATGTATTTCAGATGACTCGATAATTAAACATTAAATATATATATACAATATACTTTATTTTATTGTTTAAATGTAAATATAATGATTTGACATATGTATAAATAATTTATATTCTAGAAATAAAGTATTTTTTAATCTGAAATTCTCAAATTTTAGTTTACAAAAAAAAATTCAATCTGATTAATAGGAATTTACTTAAATCCTTCTCATATTTTGACCTATTTTGCAAAGTTATTGCCCTAAGCAAATTATTTTGTAATAAATAAATAGTAAAGTTAAATCATTGAATATGCTATCTTCTATATACTGAATGTAATATAGTTTATAATACCTACCACAAAAGTCTTGTTCATCACTTCCATCTAAGCAATTCAATATGCCATCACACAATTCTATAATTAAAATGCACTGAGTAGAATTGATGCACTTAAAATAATTTAAAGGACAATGGAATTCTGTAAAGAAAAAATATATATAAATCTGAACGTATTGGAAAACATAAATCATCAATTAAGTTACACTAATTTCTACTTATTCAGTATAAAAGTTAACATTTAAATTTTCCTGATTTTACTAGAAAATTTATTATTTACTTAATGCAAATTCATGAAATTATAATAAATCAAAACATTTTCATCAATCATGTAATAAACATTTTAAATTATAAATTTGTATAAATTAGATTTAAATTGTTGATCAAGTTGTGCTTAAGATTTTTTAAAACAATACGTTTAAATGATAAACTTCTCAATTTTTTTTTTAAATCTTTATCCAATTATGAAATTTTATTAAATATAATACAGCATCCAACAAACTTTTCTTCTCTTAAAACTCACTTAATTTACTTGTCTTGAATGTCCTAGTACTTTAAATGACATTTTTAAAATTTAATATATTAAAATGAATAATATATTTATGTTAAAAAAAAGGGAGGCAGTTTTATTCTCAGGCAGCATTTATATTTTATATTCACATTACTTTTTCCGTTAATAAATTAACAATACACAAACTTTCGAAATAAAATATTTGCTTAGCTCATCATTTGAAAACGTTTGGTTCAAAAGATGAAAATGATTTAATTAACAAAGAACGAAATTTACATAATTAATATAATTGTTTCAATTACGTATCCATTTATTGAAATAGATTAATTTAATCTATTTCACACGTGTTCATTGTTATTTTTTAAACATTTCTTTACGGTATTATATAGTAAAAAAAAATAACAATGAAAATATCTTATACCGTCATAACTCGCGCCCTTACTAATTATATTTTAAATGAATTCATTGCTAATGTTAATTCTAAAACTTTAATAAATAAAAATATAATAACTCACCTTTATGATATGTATTTAATTCGTATTTATTATAGTTTAAAGCACATATTTCTATAAATATAATTAAGCCGGTAAAAGAGAAAAATAATAAATAAGGCGAACATCTGCAACTGAAAACCATGTTAAACNTTCTACTTATTCAGTATAAAAGTTAACATTTAAATTTTCCTGATTTTACTAGAAAATTTATTATTTACTTAATGCAAATTCATGAAATTATAATAAATCAAAACATTTTCATCAATCATGTAATAAACATTTTAAATTATAAATTTGTATAAATTAGATTTAAATTGTTGATCAAGTTGTGCTTAAGATTTTTTAAAACAATACGTTTAAATGATAAACTTCTCAATTTTTTTTTAAAATCTTTATCCAATTATGAAATTTTATTAAATATAATACAGCATCCAACAAACTTTTCTTCTCTTAAAACTCACTTAATTTACTTGTCTTGAATGTCCTAGTACTTTAAATGACATTTTTAAAATTTAATATATTAAAATGAATAATATATTTATGTTAAAAAAAAGGGAGGCAGTTTTATTCTCAGGCAGCATTTATATTTTATATTCACATTACTTTTTCCGTTAATAAATTAACAATACACAAACTTTCGAAATAAAATATTTGCTTAGCTCATCATTTGAAAACGTTTGGTTCAAAAGATGAAAATGATTTAATTAACAAAGAACGAAATTTACATAATTAATATAATTGTTTCAATTACGTATCCATTTATTGAAATAGATTAATTTAATCTATTTCACACGTGTTCATTGTTATTTTTTAAACATTTCTTTACGGTATTATATAGTAAAAAAAAATAACAATGAAAATATCTTATACCGTCATAACTCGCGCCCTTACTAATTATATTTTAAATGAATTCATTGCTAATGTTAATTCTAAAACTTTAATAAATAAAAATATAATAACTCACCTTTATGATATGTATTTAATTCGTATTTATTATAGTTTAAAGCACATATTTCTATAAATATAATTAAGCCGGTAAAAGAGAAAAATAATAAATAAGGCGAACATCTGCAACTGAAAACCATGTTAAACTTATTCGTAAGACGAATAAAATAAAAGTTTTCGATTATATGATAATATATAAAGAATTAAACGCGGTAAAATTAATCATATCCTGATATTATGCCGGATCGTCTTATGTTTCTCTTCGTCCTCTACCTTACTGCTACCACGATTATAGTGAGAGCGTGTGTACGTGTGTTAGCTAACGCGCATGTGCCAACTTCCTCAATCACCCCAATCTTCTCAGCTCCTCTCGCTCATTCTAAACAGTTAAAGGTCAAACTTACAACCGTCTTTCATATAGAAACAAAATATCTATATAGTTCAAACGTTGTTTATATGGAAAGAAATGAGGCTTCTACGACGTTTGCAATGATAAAAACACTTTTATTTTTACTCTATTATATATTTTTCGCGCTATATTCTCACCCTGACCTTGAACAGATAACACATGCGGTTTGTTATTTATAAAAAGAAAACATTACCGTGTTTTTCGTGGGAAAGTTACTACTTATTTCCTCGTATATTTAAATTCGGCAAATATTTAATGATAAGATTATTGAATATTTAATTATAAGAAAAACGAAGTTTTCCTTTTGCAATTGATATTAAAAAAAAAAAAAATCATTTTCTATACTTTTTGCGTATAAGTTAAGAAATTGTTTATATCTTTTTCGTTATACTTGATCAGCTATCTGAATTTTTTTCATTAGAAAAAAATAATAAAGTTAAGTAACTGTTTACGTAATATCTAACAAACACTGTTATCATTATGTTATGCTATTAAGTTTGTTTCCTACAATATAATATAGGCCAACCTTTTTTCCATTTCTCAAGAATATATGATATTAAAAAAAAAATGTCGATTGAGTATGTTGATCTTAATCTATTCATGCATTCTTATGTCATAAAATTTTAAACACAAAAATAATTCAAATTTTGAAATTATTTTTAATAAATCATTTTTTATATACAGTATATAGGATATAATATGGTTTTTTTTACTTCAAACTGAAATTTTAACTATAATAAATATTGAAAAATAAAATCAATTCATTGATTTTACATTAAATTTCTAGTGAAATGTGTTATAAAAAGAATAATTTTAAGAGTTTAAATAATAAAGATGTTTATCATTTTAACCTTCAATTGTTTTCAGATGTACTTTTTAAAAATGTTAAGTACCTCATTTGATATGTTTTTCCTTAATAATTTAAAAATTTTTCTTAACAATTATATATTAAAAGTTTAAACAAAACCTATGGTATGAATTTATAATAAAAGTTCGAATGAAATTATATATTTTCATAACTATTTTATGTTAAACATCAAAAATTTCCATTTTCTCTTACAATTATTACTCTTACTAATATTCTTTAATATAATATTTGCTATAAATATTAAGAAATATAGAAATTTTCCATTAAAAATAATTTTAAAAAATTGTTTGAATAATAATTTCATTCTGTGATATTCAAGTTTCAAAATAAACAATTATTTATATTAAATTCAAACAAGAAAAGATAGAATTATGAATATATCAGATAAAAATTATTTATGATAAATAGGATATTTTTAACTAATAAAATAATTATCGTAATTTATAAAATAATTTTAGAAACAAATACCGTGAAAATTATTCATTAGAAACAATAAATAATGTAACTTTTAATTAATTGTATTGCATAAAATGTTGTTCACCTTCACGTAATTTCCATGATAGAAATTTAAAAAAATTAAATTTATAAGTTTTAATATTAAATTTATAGAATTAAAATGATAATGAATTATATATTCAAGTGAAATGATATTAGCAAATATCTTTACTGTTAAAATCATTGTACTCCTGTTTATGACAATCGAGCCATGTTTATTGCATGAATTGTTCGACTCACTGAAGCAATGTAAATAACCTTATCAATAAGTCGATTGATTTAAATAAATTGCTGTTTACATATTTTAATTATTCAATTAGATAAGTCTACATAAAAAGCTATTTTGTATTATTAAAAAGAAATTAATTTCTAGTAACAAAGTTATTAAATTTAAAAAGTATGTGAAAACGAAGAATATTTATGCCGAAATTTTCCATGTACAATGAAATCTTTCTATAATGGTCCGAAAAATATGTTCGTTATACAGGGATCCGCCCAAAGAGATATGTTTTGTGAAAATCACCTTTAAATGAAGCCTGCACTATTTTTATTCATATACATATAATACAGATACCATGCAAAAATCGTATTGTAATACCAACACATTACAGTTAATGATAAATTATAAGATCGTCAGTATTATTATTTTAATCTCTTGAATCTCAGAGAGTAACTAAAAATAGTTTTTGTATTTCGTTTTGTGCGCTCAGTCAGAGTGTCAGTCATAATGGTTTGCAGTGATGGTAAATGCATTCATGAGACTTTATTATCTGCATATCATTTGCTAAAGCTGCCACGAAATTGTACGCGTTCTCATTGCTAGAAAAATTTCAGCTGTGAAGAAACAACTTCAAGAGAACAGATTGGAAACAGATTGCTAACAGATCCTGTGTTCAATATACGAATGGCTTGGAAGACACCCAGTTGCTTTGTTAGCATTTCAAGTGATACTCGTGCACTGACAAAGCCGAACGGGCCAATCCAAAGAACGACTAGTAGCTTATATGGAGGTCCATCTTGCGTGTTCGACCAATAAATGTCTCTATCGCTGATTGGCTAGTTACTGTAGAAAAATCTAAAGCCGTTATATGAGACATAAGAATGTGAAAAGAGAAAGTAAAAGGACACAAGATGACAGGTATGACAATTGTGATACTGAATGAATGTTCACAAAATTGTTTTCGACCAACCTCATCGATGTTAGTTCATTGAGAAACATTGTTTCTGCTAATTATTCTTGTAAGATATACGAGCTTCTTATGGACTGATGTGAACAGATACCATATACTAAACGAATTCCTACAACAGTAGGTTAGCTGTTGATCATAGCAACGTAGAAATTTTACTGTCATAATAAAACTGTACAGTCAAGTTGATTTTAAGAATTCAACAGGGAATACAGTATTGAGTTTTTGGAATCGATCGATTTGACTGGAACAGCAGAAACTTCAAACAACTAAATCGGCTTGATTAGAATTTATTTTATCCATTAAGAGAGGTGACAGCCATGGTACATTTCTTGTGTTCATGGCCGTAGTTAAGTTTCCGCTTAAAGGGATCAATTGCAATTACTACTTTTTTATACCGAATCACGTAAATTGTCTATCAAGGATAGGTTTAGCTTTACAGTGGTGCAATTAAGAGAATTTCCGCTGTAGTCTTTAATGTAAACAAGTTTTTTTTAACTAAAAGGACTGAAAAATATATAAATTTTATTAAATGCTTCATTATTTAATATACATTTGTTATATAATTTTATAAAAATATATATTTTGAATGCCGTAATTTTAATTTGCCGTATATTTATCTTTAAAATATTTGCTTTCTGAAAGACTTGTATCCCACGTCTCGCCCTATTTCGTTCTTGAATTTAGCAAATTTTAAAAAATACAGTATACTCTCGATTATTTATGCATGCTTACGTCTCGATAAAAATTTACCTCGGGAATATAAATACAGTGGAATCCGGTTATTATAATCACGGATATGTTATCAATCGGCTATTGTTATGATAATAAGTCGGCCCCAAAACGATCTACATAAAATTAGTTAAAAATAATCCATCTATTATAATCACTCTTTGGCTATTGTTATCAATTATGATAAGTACCATTGGGGACAAACGATAAGAATACTTAGAAAATTCGTACTAAATGGACTTTTTTTCGAAACTTACTTTTAACCGAAGTATACATTTTATCTTTAATACACCGTAAGAATATATAAATGTGTAATGTTAAATGTAGTTTGTGATAAATATAAATTATACACATTGATAACCTACTGTAATTATCTGTAATAAATTGAGTTCAATAATAAAAATTTTATCCTCTGTTTAATGTAATCAACCAATTACTGTGATCAAAAGTCTTAAGTTTCAAAGTGATCATAATAAACGGATTCTATTGTATTAGCATTAAAATAAAAAAAAGTCTGCGTTGTTAACTTTTGTTATTTAACCCTAGAGCATTTTTGTTTTGAAACTCTTAGTGGCTATTGTTTTCTACGTAATGATAATCTTAAATATCTTATACTGTATTAAAGGAGAGGTTAAACAGAGAGTATACACAAAAACCCTTCTTTTAACGAAGGTGCAATGTCATCAATAATAACTTCTAGGTATCTGCTCTCCTATATTGGCCATTCGAACTCTACTATCTTGTTTATTTAGTTTCCCAATGAAGTCGATATAGATTTTTTGGTATCAATAGAATTTTGAAAGAGGTCTTCTGAAACTCGATGGTTCAATTAGGGATCGACGAAAAAATTAGATTCTTATTGTACTTTTTCGAGAATTTCAGATAATTTTCAAATAAGAATAATAACAATCGTATGAAAAATTTATTAGCTGATTTAATAATTTACTTGATATATTACGCAAAATCTTGGTAAATAGAATTTTTAAGCAGTCGACCGAAAAGAATATTTTCTATATAAAGCAAGAAATGCAAGAAAAAGATTGGGAACCTGATTTAGTTGCTTCCACGTTTTCTTCCAAGTCTATTCAAGGATACTTTTTAATGTGGCAAAATAGAAACATCTTACGGAGAAACAGAAACTAAAAAGAATAGAAAAATTTAAAAAAAGAAAATCAACAAAAAAATTAGTAAATAATTTCGGTATAGGTGTTTAAACTGTACGTGATATAAAAAAGCAATAAAGTGAAATTAATGTCATTCTCTACGGACTGTGATAATGTAGCTGAGTGCTCAAATCGGTAGAGTACGAAAAACTCGTTACAAAAGAACTTGGATACTGTTCTTCACTATTGCCACCAGAAAAAAGCTAAAATAATGTCATCTAATCTGTGGTGCAATGTGTGCAAAAAAAAGCAAAATTCTTTCACGAATTACCGGAATTAATATGTGAATTCAATACTCCATCTAAATAGTTAACTAAGTTTAAACAGTGGCATAGTATTCCACAGTTAACCACAAAAAAATAACGTCACAATAAAACAAATGCAACTTTTAACTCGCGGAACTAGGCGAAATGCGTTATCAATATACAGTAGAACCCCTCTAATCCGTCACCTTTGGGAC